CGTAAGTGTTGTCTTTGGAGAATCGCGAAGCGATGAAATCGCGTGAACCCTGACCGAGGCTCAAGACGTATCTATTGGAGTTATTTGACATGCTAATTACGAAAATAATATCCATTATGCTTGGTAAGGCTTTTTTTATCACGCCTACGATACTTATACGGTGATAGGTGCAGGTCATTCACAAAATCGTGACGAATGCCCATTCCGCGCGCGTCGCATCCGCATTTCCGGCAATCGCCCTTTTTCGTTTTTCAGTAGAGGAACGAACACCTCAATTAGGCACCGACTCCGCGGGCTGCTGGTCCTCTGTTCAAAACATTTTTTTGCATGCATACGTTAGCTGCTGGACACTCAAGTGACTGAGCGTAACGCTGAGGTACTGTTTGATCGCTAATAATCGCTTTGATCTCTTGCTTGCATGTGTTTTGCCGAGCTTAAGGTATCATTCTGTAGAGCGAAATTCAATTAGATTTAGAGCATGGAGCGGATCACCAATCGCTTTTTTCATTGCTGTAGGATTATGGTATAAACTTTCAGCATACACGGCAGTGTAAAATAGGCCTTGATGAAAAAAATTCCAAAAAAACCTGGAAATTCGTGTTGCAAGGTTTTTAGGCACGCTGAATTCACTACACAGCTTCTTGCCAGTTTTTCGAGCTTTTTTAGTGTGTAATCACAATTTTGACGAACATTGGAATTCAGTTGTTACCCTAAACCTTGTAAATATAACTTAAGAAAGAGCCACTGCAGTAAAGTGCAAATTTCATATCTAGAATCTGCGACTTCGACTAGCCCAGCACAAGAGTTTCTGGCTACTTAGTTTTCTTTCTGAGGTAAAAAATCGCTTTCACTGACCTAAAATCCTTTTCGAAGTCCCTACCGTAACGGAGAAAGATCTCAGATTGGACCCATGTTATAAGTCTAACGAAAGATGAAAATCGCTCTAAAATGGTACTCAAAGCAGGCGAAAGACGAGAAAGCAATAGAAATGTTAACGATCAAACAGAGTGCACATCTTTTTGGGACACCCTGTAATCTCAGTGCTCTTGTATTTTGCATAGGGCTTAACTGACTTTGTCAAAATCCACGTTATCGCTAACATCAGTACCACGTCAATTGCTGCCCTCCTCCTTCTCTGACCCCTCCGTACGACCTCCCACTCAGGCAATTGCTGCAGCGGTCAGGAAGAACCGTTGACATGATCGTACACGGACCTCAGATACTTTTTCCGGCTGGTGACCGGGCGATGACCGGCTGAGGCAACACCTCAATTCCGGGCGAGTCGGCCGCCGGCCGCCCGCCAGCCGGTGTTGGCACGCAAACGGCGCGGACGCCAGCCGGCTTCCTAGCGCAGCGGATTATTGGGGCACGACCGGCCAGGTTTAGCTTCGTTGGCTATTGTCGACTCCCCAACTTTGGCGAGGCGGGATCTTGATCTTCACCAAAGATCGATGGATCAGGTATGCCGCAGCACAGGGCAACCGCAACGCAAGGCACGCTAACGCAGCTCCGCCTCGCCAAAGTTGTGGAGCCGCTCATATGTATATTATTATTCTAGTCATATAGTGTTATACAAAAATTTCTTATTAGGTCGTTCCGAAAGTAAGGTCGCTTTTTTCAAACGAACGCCACGTTTCACGGAATCAAGATTTTCTAGAGTTGTTAGGAGCATTCGATGCAGAATTTCATCCTCTTTCTAATGGTTCTAATTTCGCTGCATAACGTTTAGTGAGCTCTCGAAAAATTACCAAAATCTGCGACTCATGCTTTTTGCTATGATCAAGTTCAGCTATTTTTCTAAATTTTTGTACCTAATCTCCGAAGAAGTACAAGTGGCGGGTAGATAGAGCAAACACTATAGAACACAAAGCAATTTTTTCTTTTCCTTAGCTTGCTTCTCAGAGTTTCTACAATCAATTTGTCAATGCCATCAAATTCCATATTTGATCAACTCAAACCTCACGAAACAACAATCGGCAAGCAACTCGGGTGTCATTCGACGCAGCTTTTTCTCCTCTTTCCACCAGTTGTTTTTTGTTCCCGATTCATCAAGTTTTTCGGGAAAAATCATTTTAATTCAGGTTTTCCAAGGCGCCCCGGGCTGTACCCGAAATTTTCGAAGGTTGCTGATCTGAAGCGGAAAATGCTCATTTGGTTTGTAAAATTAGTGTCAAACCATAATCCATCTTTGTAAGTTTCAAAATCCGATAATTTATTGGTGTTTGATGCATTTGTGTCTGAGGCGAGCCTGCTAAAATTCGGTGGTTCCATCAAAAAATCTGTACAAAAATTATGACGATCTGGAAAGTAGAAAAAAGTTGTGCTGTTTCCTGTAGGGTTTGCTCCATCCATCCATTACTTGGACTCCTTCTGAAGTTTGTTATAAAATTTTAGAAAAATTGTGAAACTTGGCCATCTCAAAAAGCATAGGTCACAGATTTGACTCTTTTCTGGAAGATCATTGACTGTATTACAACAACTTCATAACCATTGGAAAGAGAATGAAATGCTGCATCAAATGCTACCAGAATCTCTTACACATCTTTGTTCCACGAGATGTGGCATACGTTTGAAAAAAGCGATATTACTTTCGGAACGACCTAATATAATATTTTATTCGATATTTACAAGAGGGACAACAGAGAAGACACGAATTATGTTCAACATATAAGTACAACATACAACATGTGTAAACATAATATAAAGAACATATTGCATTACATATGGTGCATTCTCCAAACTGTTCCCATCGGAACTTCAACGTGGCTGTCTTTCGATCATTTCAACAGTCAGCTTCGGATAAGCGCCTTATTTGCTGGAGTCAACGCGTTGAAACGATCGAAAGACAGACACGTTGATGGCTTAAATGGGAACAATTCTGGGATGCACGACACAAACAGTTAACAAATCCGCATGTAGACTTGAGTTTAGAAACTGAAGCTAGAAGAAACGACTCCGCTCCCAAGATTCGTGACACGTATCTCACAACAAAGTAAGAAGTCAGTCGTGTGTACCTGCAAATAAAGATTATGAGGATCTTATGAAGATGAGAGCCAACTGCAGTAGGCTACAGCAGCATTGTGGCATAATTGAAGTTATGTTATTCTTCCGCGTTAAAGATCCATATGCGCATTACATATTAACCACATATTCATTACAAGTCTAAAGAGGAAGATCAAACAAGAAACAAATTGCTCACCTGTTGCAGTATGCATGGACAACACCGATGAACAGACTATTTATCTCCATATGTGTCCACTTATTTTCCAGACAACCATCAATAAATAACTAACCACCAAATTGTTAGAGCACTTATTATATAGACAGAATGTTCTCCGGAGCAGACAAATAAGCAGATAATCCAAGCTCAACCACAGCAGAAACTCCATCATTAGCAGTCTCAAGCATTTCAACTTGTGAACTAACGCACTCCAATCTGAAAAATGTTTGAGGATATGCCGGTCGATAAAGAAATGTCAAACAGGTACCTATGAGGGTCCTCCTTTTTCGTGGGGATGGAAGCAGACCAAATGACCAAATAACAAAGGGAAATCACATGAAAACACTAGTAAACATTTTTGAGCACAAACAATATGACAGTTTAGTCACGACATGGAAGCTTTCCTAGTCTGCTGAAAATGAAAACAAAGATGAGCGATGAAACATGACAATACACGAACAGCATGTGAAGAAAGACACAGTACCACAAAAATAATCACGAAAAAACTAGAATCAAAAGATCTTGTAAGGCGCGTAGTGATGATGAAATCGCATGCTCACTATTGAATCTGACGGTACTCATGATTTTGTGCGCCTTCGCGCGCTTTTGCGGACGCGACCGGGGCCGGTATGTATCAATCTCCCACTCGGGAAGGGGTTCCCATCTGGGTCGTTGCCCGACCGGGCACGGGCGCCCGCACACGCGATGCACCATTTTGGGATGGGACTCGGGCAAGAGCCCGGACTGCCTATTTGGGGATCAGTAGCACGCGTGGTGACGCATATGTGATACGCCTCCTGGCGCCTTCTGGGAGTGACTCCTTTCACTCATTTTCGTGCATTTCTTCTCCGAATTTGAGTCCGTGCGTGTTTCTTCATCAGTTTCTGTTCCCTAACGTACTTTTTGTCTTTTCTCTGATCGCTGTAGAAATCTGAAACTGGCGTCTAAGTGTTTGAGCAATAAAAACTTTCTTTGCCGCTATTCATGCGCATGTACTTTTATTCATCCTACTTTTATTGGTGCGTTTTTGGAAAAGACCATAAGACTAAATACTCTTTTTTGTTTTAACTTATCCGTGCTATGTTTCTTTTATTCTTTGCGTTTTCTTACTATCTTAGTAGCTGTTTGAGTACAAGTCTTTGTCTTTGCAACACGAAGTACGGACCACGCTGTTGCTGTCTGTTGCTGGAAAGTGAATGCATAGCTAATCGTTAGCTGTTTTCAAATCTTGTTTCAGTACATTAGCAATCTTTTCTGATTTGTGCTTTGACATAGACGACATTATTTAGAGTGGCCATAATGAGTTCTATGCATTGTTCACCAGCATTCGAACCATGCTATTTGTAGCCTCCAGGCGCCCGGCCTAGGTTTTTTTGTCACACTATTAGCCTTGAACCCAACCTATGGGATGTACGAAGCACCATATCTCGTGTGTCGGTTCTGAGATGTCTAGTTCGTTCCTCAACAGTTCCTCAATAGTTCCTCAACAGTTTCTCGACAGTCACCTATTCTCTGTTCTGTATTAGCTCGTCTGTACCTACTCTTATTCTCTGTATTTGTATATCAGCTTCTTCTTGTGGTTTGTCATATTACTAATAAACCATTTTATTTTACCAGTTGTTCTGCTAAGTCAGTGGAACCTGCGGTCTAGACCGTCCTACCGCCACTTATTTCTCAGATCTAATAGTCATGTTTTGATATTGGTAGTGGCATTGTAATGGTATCCGCGGTAACTATCGTGCTTTTTAGCTATCTTTTGGTAATAATACTTGCTTTTGCAGGCCCTTGTCAGCGAATTTGATTTTAGAGGCGGGTGTTTGTTTTTGTCCGCAACCGATAGAAGAAGATGGAAATTGTTGAGGTCAAAGTAGGCTCTTTGCCGTCTTTCCCAGCTTCTTGTAAAATCAGCGATTGTAGAGTCGGGCTCCAACGGATGCGGTGCAGGAGGAACCAAAGGCATGCCGCCTGTAGCCGTAGGAGACAATTAGGAGCACGAGCGCTGTGGGTAAGATTTTGGCGAGGATCCAGGAAAACTTGGCAAGGACATCCATTAGAAACAAATCCTTATAACTCTTTTTGGACTTAACTGCCAGAAGGACAGATTTGGAATCAGTATTGAAATGCGCATTTTTCAGTAGTACGCCTACCGGATAGATAACATCTCTGTCTCGCTACACGAGTTTAATTTTTACCAAAGACGAAGCGTTCAAAATTCACCATCAAAAGTTGAGGAATTCCAAGTCCAATGTTGTGTGGAAGACTTAAGTGATTTTCTTTGATGAAATTCCTGGATTTGAAGTTAAAAATAGGGAGTGGCAAAAATAATGTTAACTAGGTTGCATGTGATGAATTTTTGCTACTGTGTACAGCTTCGAAACGATTACCGACATTCTCAATAGCAAATCGTATGAAATCCCTAGTGTCAAAACTTAGAATTAGAATTAGGTTTGAAGTTAGAGACAAACTGCATATTACATCTTGACACAAGCCCAGATGTGTTTTTATGATGTTTCGATTGCTTTGGTTCATTGACTCAAAAGGCAAACTATTCCTTTACCCAAAGAAATGCATTTTGAATGAAAATCCCTGTCTTCAACAATTTGAAAGTTCGAAATTCACAAAGGAAGAAGTTCCTATAAGGATGGTTTTTCTTACCAGTACAATTCCCAACTTCAACTTACTTTTGGGCTCAGTGAATGCGCCTTCCAGTCTGCATTACAAATCTGTTTTTCAAATTTTTTAAAGTCATCTCCAGACAAAGTTATGAAGATTTGTTCCTAGAGGATGCCCTTGCGAAGTTTTCTTGGTTTCTTGCCAAAATATTCTCCATAGCGCTCGCGCTCGTAATTATCTCCCGCGGCAGCCCTTTGGTTCCTCCTGCACCACCCCCGGCTCCAACCATGACCCCAGAGGAGTTAACTATCATAAGTCAATTCTACGTCGAGAACCATAATGTGTTTCATTCGTTCCTTCCCTTAGACGGAGCACAAATACCAAAAAAAATCATCAAGTAAGACCTCCCCGGAACTTTTCAGTAAGGAGGGAGGGCGTAACACAGTAAAGAAAATGAAAAACTCACCAATTTCAGCAAAAAAAACGCGGTGAGTTGCATCTCCCGTCGCGAGTGCCCGATCCCGCGAGATCGGGCTTTCCTGCCCATCCGGGCTGGGCGCCCGCGAGTTTCATACATCATGGGTCGGGCGGCCGCTCCCGCCAGGGCGTTCATTTCCAATGGTTAAGGAGCGCCCGGGCGCGGTTCGGGAGATTGATACATACCGGCCCGGAAGCCAGCCGGTGATAGTTTCTAGCCCGCTCCTCGGCCGGTTTTGGGCTCCGCCCCAAAACATGGTGCGGCCCTCGGCCGGAGGGCCGTCGTCGCCCGGTCACCAGCCGGAAAAAGTATCTGAGACGTCCGTAAATTGTTCACCGCAGTTGCAGAGCGGCGCGCGCCGCTATTTTTTGAATTTGACTTGAGAACCGCTTTCCGCCTTTCATCTCTTTCTTTCATTCCTATGGTTATGGTAGTATATTAAGAGTAATCCATTGCGGCGTTGACTAGAAGCTATGCTATGACAAGTCCTGTTGTTCATATGGGATGGAGGCTATCAATGCCGCTGTATTCGATTTCTTCGCAGAACGTCACATAGCACTCAAGCAAGAATGGCTTTCCGGTGTTCTTGACTTCCTCCAGTCACGGCGTATCGAATTCGATGTGAGTTCTAGCTGGTAGCTAGAATCAGTGACGAGCCGCTCAAGCGTACTTTTTTTTCAGAATCCTCTAAAGATCGCGGCCTTGGTTTTCGAACAATGGAAGCATGCAGATCTGACTGATTCTTCGTATCCCATATTACAACAACAGGTTCATGATAACGACTATTCAAGGACATACATCCGGCATCCGGTTGTCATGCAGGTTCGTTCCGACGACGGTTAACAGACATACGTGATGGGAAACTAAGCATAGGCAACTTCTCTACTTTTTAAAGCACTGACCAGGCTTCGCTCGAAAGGGTCCAAAAGCGCGCAAATTTCTCGAACCTCACTTCACTTCTCTCATCTCTCTCACACGAGAAAGTGAAGAGAGATCAGAAGAATTTGGGCGTTTTTGAGCGAAGTCTGTCCCGGGCCTTATCGCTTCCGCACTTGAATCGCATGTGCCCGTCGCATGAGCTGGGGCGTCTGGTATTAGCTTTAGTAACCTGTCTTTGAGGGTGGGAAATTTATGCTCCGAGAATCTCGACTTCTAACTTTCGCTGAAGTTTACTCCGCCTGGGTTTCAACATGGTCTTACCTTTGAACTCTGCCAGAATATGAAAGTGTTATAGATTAATTCCATCGTTGACATCGGTACGCCTTATCACCTCCAATACACTACCCTGGTCTATGAATTCGTTGACGATACGGGATTCGAGCCTTCCGCAGAGATGGAACGAGATGGGCGTCCCGACATCTGTGAAGCGGTACGTTAATCAGAATTTCAATGACGAATAGTACTACGATCTATGTTATAGAAACGACGTCGCATGATCATGTTAACGGTGAGCGATGGAGAAAATAATCTCAGAGCCATAGAATATCACACAATAAACAGCTTGTCTCTACTTACTAAACCCGGATGCAAGGTAGTTCCGCGAAATCTGACAACTTTCTTTACCTTTGATTTTCAGCTCCTGCTTATTCCTCCAATACAATGCAGGAAAGGAGTGCTTTTGTTGAAGCCCAAAAGCGTTCAGATCATTGGTACGTGTCTGCATTTTGGGCAGCATTTTTTCGCTTTGGTGCATGATTTTTTACGCATGGGGAAAGAATACTTCAATTCTTCATCAGTTTAGACCGGGCACTTATGATGAGTTATGTTAGTTTACTAAAGGCCCACTCTCGAGTGTTTACTCGCAAATCTGTCAACGCTTCTACTGTTTACAGGAGGTGATGTCGCATCCCTTTTTGCGACTGGACGTCCTCTCGCTGTTATCACACAAAAGTTGGGAATAACGATGTCAATACTAGAGTCAGTTCTCTTTTTACTCTTTGTGGTAGTGTGTGGAATGCTGCAGAAACTTTCCACGAACCGGTTTGAATTTTAATCTGAAATTGCATCTGCGTTCTAAGTAGAATCGACGTCAATGGATTTTTTTTTTGAGTTTAGCTCGTCGCTTCATACCAATGTTCACTCATTCCACGTACAGTCAGGCTTTCAACGACAGACAGGTATGTTTTCCCACGTTATAGACCACTTTTACATGTGATATCTCGGCTAGTTCCGTTTTCTTTTTATGCGCACGTTTCTTCTATTTTATCTATATCGTTCAAATGTCATATTTTGGAGTCTCAGAAAGGATAAAACGTGTTTGGTTAGATGTTTTAGGGATCGGTGATACGTCCACTTCATCCCAGCTCATGTCAAGTGAACCTATTCCAAGGTAATCATTTTTCTTTTTGAATAAACCTGCTTGCTTCTGCTTCTTACGATTCTCTGAACGCACCGAAATCAGTGCAGGAATCTGCTTAATTCGGTTTCTTACTAAGGCCCGTATGCACGTACATCCCCGCGGGGAGGGGAGGGGATCTGAGAGGGGAAGCGTCATATCTCGCTAGTTTATATATCTTTCTTCTTCTTTCTCTGTCTTGTTTTTGAAGGTTCTCATACACTGATACCTGCGCATAACGGATGCCAGGTTACTGCCATACAAGATTAGATATTCACTATTTCGTCTGATCCCCTGGGGATCCTCCGGGGAACACCTCACATTTTCAAAGTCATTTATCTCCCTGAAAACTCAATAAAACCCCTGCAAAATTGTACTGAAGATATACTACGATAATGCTGAGCATGTTTTCGGCAGAAGAGATGGATTATGAAGATTTTGATTTTTTCGATAATCCCTGGCTCGCGAGCAGCGGTTCATCGAAAATTTTGATATGTTGAGATTCCACTCATTTCTACCATAAACATGTTTAGCACTGCTGTAGTATATCGTCAGTACAATTTTACAGCATTTTCAGTGGGTTTTTAGGAAGATAAATGACTTTGAAAATACGCGGTGCTCCCCTGGGGATCCCCAGGGGATCAGACGTAATAGTGAAATATCTAATCTTGTATGGCAGTAACCTGGCATCCGTTATGCGCAAGTATCAGTGTATGAGAACCTTCGAAAGCAAGACAGAGAAAGAAGAAGAAAGATATATAAACTAGCGAGATATGGCGCTTCCCCTCTCAGAACCCCTCCCCTCCCCGCGGGGATGTACGTGCATACGGGCCTAATACATGCCAGCGAATGTCTTAATTGAGCGTGAGAGCTCCCAGCACTTCTCAACTTTTTCGCTTCGTGTTAAAGGTCTATGATCATATTATGATTATACATCTGTGTTATCGATCTTTGCTTGCACCAGGAAATTTCGTTTAGGAAGGACCAATTCCCGGAACTGTCTGCATTACCGCTGCGACGCCCACGCGTCAAGCCTGTTGCCCAGGTATGCTTATACTGCGTGTTACCTCTTCAACACAGTTTTTTGCTAGGTTTCTCCGATAAAAATCCATCCATCGTCTCCTATTGAGCTAGAAGAATCCCCGCCCAATTTTGAAGCAGAGCTTGAAATGCTACGAACTCGAGAAAGGTATTAAAGTCTAGGTATTTCACACCTTCACTTCTAGTTGCCAAAGTGAGATGAGAGGAATGTGCGAGGGGGGGGGGGGGGAGGGGAAGAGGGATTCTTTAGAGATGTGAAATATCTACCATTTATCGCGTGAGTCCCAATTCGCATTTTTGCTTTTGATGTTGGAATTTTAATCATTGTTTATTCACCCAATTTCACATTCTCAAAAACCTGTATAAGGTCACGTTTGCACCAATGATAATGTGCCATAACTTGACTGTTCATAAAAGCCAAATATCGTTCTTTTGTATTTTTGTGTAAGCTCTGGGACCGCCACTTTTTCCTATTGCAGCGTATCTCAAACAACCTCCAACCAGGAGCGAAACTTTGTCACTGAAAAGCGTGTGTCGATCTTGGCTGCATGTGGAGAGACTGAAATTACTCGAGCAAAACCACTAGCAGTCCTGCAAGGTGGCTATGACGGTTAGTGCTTCTTGCTTATATTGTTATGAAAATGCGGAAAATAGTTGATCATCCTTGTTGTTATGACGTCAGCTATCAATATGTCCATCATCATAAGCTGATCAAGCTCTACTCATATTCCTTTCAAGGATCGCGATCATCCCCTCAAAATGCAACGTCAAAAAGGTTCCACGAAAATGAGGTGACCGCACCATTGAAGGTAAGAATGGTACTCGTGCCAACATTTCTCAAACTTGAAATTTCAGAAGGTGAAAGTTGAGCTTGTAACATTAGATGACGATGAGTGCGATCATTCCCAAAAGGCATCCCCGCAAATTAATACTCAGTCGTTCGCCACTCAGCGTCTCTCTCAATCAACGCAATCTCACCAGGTAGCAGCTCACTAGATTTCATGATTTTTAACTTTGCCTCAATCTTTGCCTTCATCCAGCGCTATTAAGCATATCCATTTTCTTTTGCGCAAAAAGAAATGCGCACGACAATTTACATTTTTTACGATAACTTATAGCTTCAACAAGTTGATGAAGCGCCCTCAGTCTCGAAGTATCGTGCTTTGAATATCACGCGCATCGCTGATGCTACAAGATTGATGCGTTTCGCTGTCGGTTCATGTCGCAAAGTTGTACAGGTAGTGGTTCAGGGACTTCGCTCTGTTTGCTTCATATCATTCTTGTAGGCAATCATTTTGGACATTGTAGACTCCCTCCGCATAGTCGACGGATTGTGGACAATGAAGGTATGTTTGATGTGCTGAAGGTGGGCTTACCGTGCGTGATGTATGAAATATTTACTCTCGAAAATATCTATTCTGTGAGCACCTGATGATGAATAACAGTCTTGTTTTCGGCGGGTCTACTATATTCATAGTGTTCGAAGGGATGTGTTGTAGGCAAGTATCTGCTTGTCTTTGATTGAGAGTAAATCTCGTAATTCCGTCTCTGAACGCTCGCACCTATGCTACGGTCTGCATACACAAACTGGAGAGCGTTTGATTAGACCACTCCTACAGTGCTCAAACAGCGCATCCAGAATATCGACATCGGCAAGGTCGAGTGATTTCGTCTTCGGACGCGGTAGAAGTCTGTGTCACATTGTGACACAGAGTAGGCAGCGAAAAAACAGTGCACAGAATGTAGTCACATTCTGTGCACTGTTTCTTCGTTATATGCTTCTCTTGGGACAGTTGGTCTTTCAATCCATTGCCCTGCAAGCTTAAACGCGATAGTCGATAGAGTGTCAGTTCCATACAAGCAGACATATAATGTATCATTTCACTGTCATGCTTAGCATCAGTCACAGGCACGGTCGTATCAGAGTTCTTCTCTTTTTCAGGTTACCATCCAGGATGAGTCGATTGACAGATTGGCGTGCATCATTGATAATTCATCGCTGACCTCTTTGATAGGATTGTCGCCCCAAGAAGCGATGGTACTGAGACCAAGTCTTGTTCTGTCTTCATGTTTTTTAGTTAAACGTTTAGGAAATTCGCGCATCGAGTGATGTTGACCGCCGGAAAGATGGACAGCGGCGGTTGGCTACCGTGGAATCGCAACTGAAACGGCTGGATTTGCTGTTAGAGTTGGAGCTATTTAGTGGCGGTCGCGCGGATCCTGTTATACGCAGCATCAGGACACTTGTACAAGCGCTTGATCTCATTTGAAATACTTGTAATTCGTTTCATCTCATCTTACCTTTTCCACTTGCTGTGATATGCTTCTTGATGTAATAATGAATGCAGTCTTTTTGTATCTTGTTTGTGTTTGTGTTTTTGCACTTCCTCAATATAAACTTGGACAAAAATTGTTTTACTTGTCAAGTTTTAGCACATCAAAGTTGGTGGATCTGAACTCAACTACTCATACAGCTGAATGTAACTTCCGCAGAATATTTGAGAAAATTCCGCTGGGTCACCCGCGGAAGAAAAGTGAACTTGCTGCGGAAGTTCCCAAGTGAGGTGCTGCGGAAGTTCCGAAGAACCATAACAGCAAAAGAGAACAGCTAGGCAAGATTCGAGCCTTGCTCTATTGACTGTGAAACTCATTCACTTCCTCTGTTTTACGGATGACATGTTCGACAATGCACTCTAGTCTAGTTGTTGGCGAGACGACATCGTAAGAGACGATACATTTATCCTGCTGGAGTACTGGCAAGTCAAATTGCTGCGGAAGCGCTGGCATTTTTCGGATTTCCGCTGCATTTTGTGAACGGCCGTGCGGAAGTTCCCGTTTTCAACCTGTCTGACGTGAAAATCTTGCGGAGGTTTCTTTTTTTTTTTCAACGCTTCCTCTCTTGCAATAGTGAACGAAATCCTGCATGACGTGCAAATCTTGGTCTTGCGGAATCTCCGGTGAATTGTTCAAGTTGGAATGCAGATTTGATATGTGACCAAAGGAAGGTTTAACATTCTAATTATAGATCAGCTAAAACTAGCTCTTCTTTTTACTTTGCACGTTAGCAGGTGACGCATCCCAGTGGCATACCCAGGGGGGGGGGGCGCTCCCCCCCCCCCCGAGAATGGGTCGCGAAGTTTTTGAAAGTTACTTATATGGGTTATAAAAACGTGCAAATGACTTGATTGTAATTGTAAATAATTAAAATAATTTTTAAAATTTTTTAAAAATTCAATTCAGCCTTATAAAAATTTTTTTTCGGGGGCGTGGCTAACGCCACGCCCCCTTTTTCTAAAATTTTGGGGTTATGGGACCGCGAAAATTTTGAGAAGATGCCAAAAATTTTTTCTCGGTGCGTGGCTGGCGCCACGCACCTTCATTAAGAAAATTTTTTTGTCGCGCCCCCCCCCCCCCCCGAGCCGAAATCCTGGGTACGCCACTGACATCCACCTATGTTCAAATCACACGGGCAACAAAAATATGGATCGATGAGCAAAAAAATCTCGCTCTAAAGTCTCGTTTTTAAACGCAGCATCCAGGCAAGTCTGAACACATGAAGATCTCACGTGGATAGTAATTTTAGGGGCCCTAACTAAGCCACTTCCCAACCGGCAGCTCTGGTAGTGCACTAACGGCTGAGATAATTCCCTCGAAACTGGACCTCGCGATAGGTCGCATGGATTCATGGCTCAAAGCGTGGATCCTGGCGCGAAACTGCCATGAATTCATGCGAATACGATTGCGCAGTCCAGTTTCGAGAAGAATATCTCAGACGTTAGAGCACTACCTCCGCTGCCGCTTGGGCAGTGCCTTAGTTAGGGCCCCAAAAGTACTTTCCATGTAAAATCCTCGTAAGTCCAGATTTGCCTGGACGCTGCCTTTAACTGATCATAATTCTCTTTAGAACTTGTTAGTATGAATGATAAGTAGCCTGTCTTGTAGCCACAAGCCAGGGGTGCAAAAAAATGGAAGGGGCTTAAACAAACAAGATTTGCGATAGGAAAAAGAACTACAAATTGAGATTGTTCCCTCTTTTCACATTTTTTCGTAGGCCTCAAAATCCATATGAAAAATTTTAATTTTCTGATCACACAATGGCCAAATCATTACTCATTTTGAGGCGCCAACGTCTCAGTATAGGTAATTTCTACAACAACAAAAAAAAATGGTGTGCATAACGTAGACAATTTCAATTACATACAGTAGCTATATTTTCAAAGGAATATCTTTTTTCGCGCTCGAATTCTGGCCGAAAAAGAAAGTGCATTGAAATTCTGGTTTCGAGTGCGGTTGTATGAAGCTCTATTAGTTTTTAACGAATGAGGCTAGAAGCTGTTTCTAACCGCCATGATAGAGCATGAAAGGAGTGTTCTAAGTGTTGAAGTTCTTGTTATTCTAAGTGTTTTCATAGGAGAAGGTTTGATGGAGAAAAGTTGTCCTGAAGCAAGGGTTAGAAAAACGCGCATCACTTTTGCACCAACCCAATACATAGTAAACAAACCATGGCGAACATGCATTTATGCAAAATCTGCTTGCTTTAAACAGAGCCAATGTCAGACCTACGAAACCTCGAGGTACAAGATCGCTACAAATTTTAGAAGAGAGTTATTTGAAAAACCAGTAAAGCATACTTCTAGCTAACCCATTGATGAGTTTCTTTTACATGTTCGAATTATAGTCAAAAAATGAGGTGAGGTGGAAGCATTAGCCACAAGATTGGTGGTGACCGATCTCTAAGCAGACATGTATTCCTTTCAATGCCAAGTCCATAAAATATTATTCCACACAAAGAGAGAGGCATGATGACCTGAGAAAAGATTCGCATATTATCTTCTCACAGTTGAAAACAATGAACGAATTATTATTGACAGCATACATATTAACTTTGTAGCAGTGGCGGATGAGGAGGGGGGGGGGAGAAAGGAGGAGAGAGTGCCATCCTTCCTTCGAACGAGAAGGGATCGCGCAATATTTGGTAGTCTTACTAACATGAAAATGTGAAATTGACCACCTTGAAAATAATTGAACAATTTTTAATATTTTCGAATATTCAAAATAGGTTTGTAAAGAAAATCTTCGCCAGTGTGCCTGCCGCCATGCTCCTTTTCCCAAGATTTCGGGTCATGGGCCCGCAAAAACTTTTTTGGAGGTATTCCAAAAACAGTTCGGAGTGCGTGTCCGCCAATGCTTGCAGCATGGGCCGCATTGCGTGACAATTGCAGCCACAGCCAAGCCATTTTATTCACTGTCATAAAGTCATTGGAATAGGAATATGAGGAAACCGCACTAAGCGGACCAGTGCTATGCTGCTCTGCTGCGCACAAATTCGTTAAGCTAACGAAAAAGTTTCCAATAATTTTACCCCTCATCTTAAAATTCACCATTTCAGTGCTCAGTTTCTTAGCGAGCTTATCCGAAATTTAACAAGCTATTAGGTTGTTGCAAAAATAATGTCCGTTTTGCAAAGTTTTAATTCAAAAGGCTATAGCTTTGTCCAGTCTCCATATCTTTGAATGCAATCAAAACCATCGGAAGCAATGTACCTTTCGTAACTCAACCCGCACAAGCTTATACTGATATTGCAAAACCATGCGCCAAAACTCGTATTTGATACAACTCCCTCCAAGTTTTGTTCTTATGGCTGCTAGTCAGCTTATTTTGTAGACGCAAGCTAGCAGTATACGTTCATATGGAAAAAACTTCAGCGAAAGGAACTTGTGCAAAGAAAAGATAGAAATTCAAAATTGTTCAGTTTTTGAGCCTATTTATGTTAGAGCAGAAGGCCCCAAACTATGAAAATTTTGAGTTCTTCATGCACTAAACAGCTAAATTTTTCTGCAAAAACTGTAGACAAGACGTTCTGGTCGCAAGCTACAGAAATGAGCGAACCTTCGGCGATTGCCCTAATTATAAGAAACTTTGGGCCCATAGAATGCCAGCGGCGAGCATCTATTTCGGGGAGTTTCTCGGTTCAGATATTCTTGAAAAGGCTATTTGAACATGCTATAGGTAAACAATGTCTAACCAATACAGTAACCATGTTTTCAAAAGAATTCGTACATTTGTACCTGAATTGTGGCCAAGGAAGTTAAGGCAATAAAATTTCGATTTTGAGTGCAGCTGCGCGAGATGCTGTTGAAATTCTCATAGATGGGATAGAAGTGTACTTTCACCACAGTCAGAAAGTACATGAAGAAAGCTTTCCAATGGTATGCAGAAACAATATTAAGAAAGAGATTTTGAAGGGAAAAAATAGTTCGAAAAGTAGGCCTAGAAAAACGGGCATTATTTTTGCAATAGCCTAATACATCATGAACTACATAGCTGACATAGCCGGAACCACTAGGCTCTGTCATGACACTCATGTAATGTCATAAAATCAGCATGCCCTAATTCCGTACAATATTTGCCTGTCTCGGTCCCACCTCTATATGCCAGTACCCTCCTCCGCTATATTGTTAACACGTTCACGACAACGTGCATTTTTGGTTGTCTGCCTCGTGGGACAATGCCTTCCACAATCAAGTCAAATTTTGGCTAAAACCATGCAGATCGTCGACTGTAGTAAAGTGCGGTTCATAATTATACGAACACCCAAAATATTGGAAGTTTTTGGACTTTTTGGGAGAAACTCAAAAAGCCGTTGGTACCACGCGATAGAACACAGCCGAAAACGGTATATGATCCATAAGAATGGAAATGGATGTCAATTTTAGGAGTGTTTGAGCGCCTAGTGCGGATTTTTAGCGGTTCATAATTATACGAACACCTCAAGCAAAGGTCCGTTTTTTATTCAAGATTGCAGTCATTTGAGTCTAAATTATTTGTAAAGCTACAGTAACAAAGTCTGACGTGTCCGCTACACACTGAACCCAGTGCAGTTCAAAAAGGGGACCGTTACTTTTTTCAGAAGGCTCTAAATGCTTCTGTTCTGGAGTGATTGCGCACCAAAAACATCCGTTCTTCTGCGGTTTACGCGCTCTAATTAGCTTCTACCAAAGCTATGAGATAAAATAAGCTCTTTCGATAGGTATCTTGTTTGACGATTAGAAAATCTTTGCGTTTTCGTGCCGTTTTTCAACCAAGTTCCAACCTTACCACAGAGTTAGCACAATTTCGAGCCTCAAAACTCAGCTTCTCTCTCGCGCAAACATTTGGTATGAAGCAGCTGCATTGTTTACATGATGATGTTTCTGTGCCAAAGTTTTTGGGTCTTTTGTGGAACTGATCTTGAGGCTGTGGAGCTACAAACCAAATAAAGGTGTGATTGCAATAGTAAAAGCAGTGTTTTTGATGAAATGAAGTCTGCGTGGCCAAAACAAACGCTCAACGCTGCTGATTTTTTCTAGACAAATATACAGTCTGGTGAACTTCTACATACTACAGTGCTGGACATAATTATACAACCAC